CACATTGTCATTCCGGCCACCGATTTGGACCTCTTGGGGAATGTTGGACATGTGAAATCTCTATCCTTTTCTTTTAAACACCTTTTCTCTTCCACCAATGCTACGAATTAAAAACCTTAACCATTGTTTAAAAGAACACTACCAACGTCTTAAGTTTCATCGCCAATGTTGTTGTACCAAAATTTGTTTGTTTGTTTGTTTTTGTAAAGTGTTTTACGGCGCTCGCAACTGCATAAGGTCATATGAGCGCGCGGGACACACCTAATATTTTCAGTTGGTAGGAAATTTTCAATTTTGCCCGGGTGGCGGCCGAAGCCTACTCTTGTCGATTTTAGACCACCAAGGGATCTTTAACGTGCGCAACTTGTACACGGGCCCCCCGAGTTTTTTCGCCCTTGTCCGAGAAGGCTAGGTGTAGATCTTTCCTACCAGAAGATCAGGGGTGTGGCAGAAAGACAGTAGTAAGGAGGAGCCAAGGAGTAGCAGTAGAAAGGCTGCAGAAAGAGTCAGGAGCCCAGAGGAGGGGGCAAAGGAGGTGAGGGGGTGGGGGCAGAAAGTGGAAATGAAAGTAGACAACAGAACATTGACCGAGAACAGGAAAGGAGGTGAAAGGAGACAATTTTAGAGAGAAAAAAAATTCGGTCGCTACCCGGATTCGAACCCGGGACCTTTGAATGAGAGGCCAACACCTTAACCTCTAGGCCACGAGAGCCCCCTCCCCCCCCCAAAAAAAAAAATAAATAATAAAATAAAATTAAAAATAACAAATTTGGCGCTTACTTCGATGAAACATGGTAAGAATGGCTTCACACTAAGGGCGATAATCACGAAATTCATTATCTTATAAATTTCTAATATTGGTGTTTTAAGACAGCCCAAAGTTCCTGGCCGTCTCTGCGCTTAGTTTCGAACTTTGGTGTTGACAATAACCCAATTCTGATGTCGAGATGTCGCCCTTGGTTGGCCACGTCTAGGCTTGTCTCGGACAGTTGGAGTGGTGTCAAAACGTTTAGTCAAGCGTTAGATCGTTCTTCTGCACACATTTACGTGTCTTGCAACAGCAGATAGCGCAATTAAAGAATGCATCACAGACACAGCCGCTTTATTTTTTTAATTCATCAATTTTTTAAATTTGGAAAACAAGTTAAAAAACTACCCATCCGTTAAAAGGTACAGAATGTTATAGTGTGTAAGGTATGTTTACACATTGTCTACGTGATTCGAAGCAAATGTGTGTAGGAAGCGTTGATTTCAACGCAGACCGAGAGAAATCAAAACCAACATTTATGACTTCTTTTGTCTGCTCTTGCACAACGAGTCTCATAAGTCACACAAGTCATACTTTTAATTTTTACGGCAATTCTTACACTGTGCCGAAAAATATCGTTCTATAATGGGTGTGACAGAACTTTTGCAACTCAGTACATGTATATAGATTTTAAATTCTGTTTACTTTATCCGAAATTTAAAAAGGCAGAGAACAAAATACTAGCTCACTACGAAAGATCCACTATGAACGAATGGTCCTGAATGCGCCGCAGCATTGCCTTTGGTGTACCTGGAATACCTGGAGGTGTCATCTCTGACTCAGAGTTTGACATGTAATGACCCTCCCAATCTTCACGGTCGCGAGTGCCCTTGCACATCCTGCTGTACCCAGACCAGTCCATGTTTTTATGTCATCGATCCACGTTACTCTTAGTCTTATCCTGGCTCTCGTGCCCCACATCTTTTCCACAAGCGTCTCTTTCACAATGGTCTAGTGTCGTTTCAAGTGGCAAAATATTGTACTTTTCTTCATTTCACTTTATTAATATTCTGCAGGGATTGTCTTGTGTAGAGAATCTGTAACACTTCACTGTTCGTCTTTTTATTTTTTTTTATTTTGGCATACTGATGTGTCAGCTGCGTGCGCAAGGAGTTAATGCTGTCGAAAGAGTGCAGAACATCTATCCTCATCTTCTTGATCTGAGGGTGATCGGCATTTTTGGCGCGCTAGGGATTAAACTTAAATGGCGAGTAAGACAAACATGTGAGCATCACATAATCAAAAACGTAAAACAGTAAAACATAAACGCTACCATCACCTGTGATGGATAATACACACGGTGATCCCCCCAAAAAAACTGTACAACTTTTTTTTCTAAATATCTCGCACAAAAAGTGGTCTAGAATAATGTAATTTGGAACAGACAAAATTCATTCATATGGAATTTGAATGTTTGACATAAAATCCACGAAGAAGAAAGTTTTTTTGAAAACGGAAATGGTTTAAAGAAAAAAGCACCCAAAACGCAAAGTTCACCATTTTATAAAACATCTTGTAAAGGAAGTCGTGAAAAGATTGGTTGACTTTTTCTTTATTTTCTCTTTCACGTTTAATTTTCCATCCCTGTAACACGTAAACAATATATGACTTCTTTTACAAAGTTTAAAGAACTAACGATTTCAATCTGGAATTACTAAAAGAAGTGCTCTACATTCCCTCCTTTGGACTCGCCACATTTTTAACGCCTCGTTTGAACTGTTCAATGGCGCCCAAATTCAATGACTTGCTAAACCACGAGTGTTTAAAGCCACATACACTGTACATATTCAGTGTGAAGTGGATTCCATAGATATTAGGGAGTGGGTACCCAATAAACAGTATTTTTGGAGTTAACAAACCCCGCAGGATGAAAATGGGCTTTGCACTAAACCAATTTAATGTCATCGAGGAAATGAGCCCGGAAAGTCCTAGCTGCAGAACGTCTACGGACAGGCTCATGGGGCTCGACTACTGAAATCTGCACCCTGGTGACGTTTAAAGGGCTGCGCATGGTGCGTGTTCGACAAAAGTGGTCATTTTTAAAAGACATTTTTCGTTCTGATTCGCTATAGATCCAAACTGACAGAAATTCTTCACTTATGACACCAAAGGTCTTTAGGGCACCCAAGCATTCTTTCCTTGTCGTGTGCAGAACTTACAAAATGTCAAGAATGGTGAGTTTGTAGAGAGGTAATGTTCAATACAAAAAGCTCTCGCTGCCCTTTACTTAATTTAACCATGATCTCAGCAAGCAAGCAACATTTGGGGGAAAATAGTATCTGCACACTTCTGTTGACTTGTTAGATTGCTGTAACATGCAATATCGCGCTATTGTTGCAATTTTTTTATGGTGGGCCTCATGCCAACTGGTGCGTCAAGCTACGAAAATGGGAACAAGGTTGAAAATGGGTTGTATTCTTTAATGCGCCAAGGAGAGCAAAATCAGCCAAAGGTCTTATCTAAAATGAATATCAGACAAATTCCTTCTGGCTTCCAAATACTATGTTCAAATCTGAAACGCAAAACTTCAATATGGAGGAAGACATTTACAAAACAAGTTGTACAGTTGGGGTTGTTTTTTGTTGTTTTTTTATCACCCTGTACTTACTAATATATGTACAAAACGGTAAAAGTTAACAAACGATCCTCAGATGATTGCCACAGTCAAGCTCCTAGCTTTTAAACCGTTTGGAGACAACTGTTTCCAAAAGATAGTAAGCATATATTTTAACCAAACAATAAAAAGTGAAGAAACCATTTTATTTTAATGCAGAAGGATAGGAAGAGTGTCATAGCTCTAGGCGACACATTCCAAGGCTCACAACATTCACTCATTCACTCAAAGTACACAACAACGAGAGGGAAAAAAAATCAACAACAACAACCAACCACATTACAAGAATCCACTTGTTCAAGCGACATTTTGTTTGTTTTTTTACTAAGACTTGTTCATTTGCTTACGCGTTTGATAACTGTTTTGAGACGAAGGGAGGCCCATTAATCATTTATTGGAATGTGTGCTGGAAAGCATCAAAATAACTAAATAATACAACAGGGCAATTAGCGCTGCCTACACAAGGGGTCGTTACCCAAACCCCTCTCCACCGCCCCACTACACAAACACTCGCAACCACGCCCACACACACACACACACACACACACACACACACACACACACACACACACACACACACACACACATACACACACGCGTTGGAGACTACTTTGCATTATATTAGGCATATTATATACTTTGACACACATAAGCATGACCATGTTGTGACAGGGAAAGTGAAAAAAACAACAACCAACGGATGGAAATAGCAATTGGATCACCTAGTTGGGTCTGGAATGGTCTTGCAACTACCAGCATCAACACATTCATTGAAACAAATGTGAGGCGTCGTGGTGAAATCAGGTGCTCGTCAAAATAATGAATTCGAAGGTAACAGCATGTTTCTTCCCATTTGATAATTTTGATCGAATTTTTATTTTTCGGCTCAACACCTTTTATGTTCATTTAAAAACACATTGCTGTGTGGCTTTACTGAAAAATGATGAACAAAGAAACAAAATAAGTAAATTTACAGTTTCTAAGGATTCTCAATCTTTGGAAGTCACCAAACTTTGGTGGCCATTTTCTCTCTTATTTTACCTCTGAAACCAGGTGACCACTACCTCCTTCAAAAGCAAATATATCGATTTCTATTGAAGATAGATCGACAATTATTACATCGAAAGCAAGACAATTGAACAGGCTTTAAGATGATACCAATAACTCTTTATGCAAAAAAAATGACGATCGCATGATTCCACCGTGTCATGGCACGTGCTTTTAAAATCCTAGACCAAGGAAGAAAGTAGAGCTGAACAGTGTCCTTACAAAAACGACTTTCTCCAAACGCGTGAGAATCCACGCTCACATCTCTCTTATTCTGAGAGGGTGGAGGGAGGGTGTAGTGGTGGCGTCTAGGCCTGGGATATTATTATAATTAAAGAGAAAACGAAGTGAGCATCAGCTGCTGTCTGTCTAACTCGTGGCCACGTGTTCACGAGGCGAGCAATTCTGTCAGTACCGATGGCCTAGCGGACTTACAACCCAGGCAACAGAAGGCTATGGAAGAGATGTGGGAGGAGAAGTAGGACATTTTTTCAGAAACCAATCCAAAAACCCCCCCCCCCCCCGCCCCAAACAATAGACAATACACAATACCAGCCAGACCTTCCAAGTAACAAGCGTAAGATCAGATCATCTCGCTGGACGTGCGTGCGACAGATGTCTTGTTGTGTTTGGCGGAGATGGTGTTTATTACTACACCCCCACAACACACACACACACACACACACACACACACACACACACACACACACACACACATACACTCAGATCAACAACAACAACAACGAGCAGGACAGACGGCGGGTAAAAGGGAGGGATTGAATCAACCAGTGGCAGGCAGGCACCCACCCTCCAGGCAAGCAAGCAGGCAGGCAGTCACTACCCGCCGCATTGCACAAGATCTTGCATGCGCGACGGACACACGACGCACGGATCGGATAATTCATAATGTTATGAATACGTAAGTCTGAGATATTTGTTATGCTGGCCTGGGGTATTGTTCTGCCTCCGCAACTGCGACAACAACACACCCCGCTCTCTGCCGCAGCATCTTTTTTCGATCGATCGCTTCTTTAACGAGCTCCCTCGCCCGCGCTGAACGTTGCGCTATAAGTTTTCTTTCAGCTAGTGGTGGTCGCGCGAACGGCGATAAAGAGAGGGCTTCCCGTTACTTAACTAGCTAGCAAGCGACGAATTCTTGAGGCCACCACGGCGTCGACCCGAAGGCTGAGGGGCTGGCTGGCCTAGTTAGTGACAACAGGTCGCTGGGGCGTCATGTGTGATATTCCGGTGTCGTTTCACTGATAAAAACATGCCAGTCGGATAGACAGCCCAACTGTTCAACACACTCGCCCGAAAGCCCTTCCAGTTTTGATTTTAACTAGGCCTACGCTAAAGGACGCGCTGTGCAATGGCTGTATGCGTACTGCTGTTGCGTCTTGATGGCCCGTACTTCTCCTGCACAGCCTTGGCATAGATAAAACCTGTTTTTAGGTCTTTGGCATTATCTGGAAGCTTGGAATTCTTAAAGACAAGACCCTGATCAAGTGTTCAGTCTGTTGGAGAGAGTTACACTATTCGGGACCGGACTCTGTGGATAAACATAATTAAATATTATAACTGCCCGTTGAATGCTAGATCTATGTCGTTTTTCCGAATCACGTCACGTGAAATGAAAGTAAGAAAAAAGTGACAGGCGAAGAACAACAAAGTGATAGCATCGTGGTGAAAGATTGCACGGGTGACCTACACTCATTAGTTGTGTCCAGATATAAACGCCGCCAGACGTGTGAACGTGTGCACACTACCTGTAACAGAGCGATTATAAATCAAGCAACAAGCCATTGGCAGACAGAGACAGCAGTCGGTTTTACATGATGAGAAATGACGCGGGGTCTGCTGCAAGGATCAACAACGTGCGGATCCCTGTTATATAGGCCTAATTTAGCAAACTAAAGGACGAGTGAACCAACGCACTGGAACTTCTACACTTCGTAAGTTCTTTTTGTCTTGATTTCATTACAGGAACAAAAGAAAACGTATGTCCGAGTAGGCCAACCTTCTTCTCTGTCTGTCTGACTGTCTGTCTGTCTGTCTCTTTTTCTCTCTGTCCCTTCCCTGTCTCTGTCTCTCTCTCTTACTCACTCTCTGTATCTCTCTCTGTGCCTCTATCTCGCTCTCTCTGTCACTCTTTCGCCCTCTCTCTCTCCCTCTCCCTCCCTCTCTCTCTCTCTCTCTCTCTCTCTCTCTCTCTCTCTCTCTCTCTCTCTCTCTCTCTCTCTCTTCCA